AAATTCATATAATGTATATAAAACATATAGAGTAGGAGAAAAGAAAATGTTTATAGGCAAATAAAATAGTCCAACCATCCATATTTTTACTCCATAGGAAATTGTGTGTTAGTCCGATCAATTTAAATATAAAATCTTTTAGGAAAATGTTGTGTAGTTAATTTACCATGCTCAAACCTTCATTTTCTTGGAAAAAAAAAATGGTGTCACTAATAGTTTTGCCGGAAAATTTTTTTATGAGAGGTTGACATGTGGATAATAATGATGTCAGCGGTAATTAATTTAGTTATAGTTATAAATATACTAGAAGTTCGTAACTACAAAAGTGATGCATCTTAAAAAATGGAGAAAATACAACAAATAAATGATAAAGATAAATGAATATAGAGAGAGAATAGAGGCAAAGACAAAATCTGAAACTAGATTGAGTTGAGACGTTGGACCGAGTACGACAATTTGCCTCCATATTAATTAAGAACATTTTATTTATCCAATTGGGAGAATAAAAAAGGCAAGAGTCTTGTTATTATTCGATGTTGAATTGAATTAAAGTGAATGATGACGACTTAGCTTGTATATATACTAACTAATTTTATTGTATCTAATGGGAGAGTAATAGTTGAATTATCTTCATTAATTTAGTAAGTTGAATAAAATCTTCATTGTTTAATTTTAAAAATACTGACAAATTCACGATCATTCTCCTTGTTAAAACTCTCCTACTATGTTTCGCTTAGGTTTTTTATTTTTGAACTAAAATTGTTATTGTCAATACTCAATTTGGAAATTGATTTAAACTTAACGAAATTGTTCTTCAATTCTTTTAAATTTAATATCTTAATATCACTGCATGTTTTTGGATTTCGATATATTTCCAACTAGTATATGAAGCACAAGATCAACAACTATAGCAACTTCCATTCTCCAGTTGATTAATGCAAATATTTTACTATTTGAGCTTTTGAGATTTAGGAGTGCAAATAGATCTGTCAATATTGGAATATAGTCAATATACACAACCTCTAATACAATCATACTGAGTTTTTAATTAAATCCAAACAAATGAATTAGATGGAAATCATAATTGCAACTACAACAAATTAGCGTACCGTCTTCCTAAATAGGTTGTATATCGCACATGTTATCTGTGAAAGACATGGTACAATGGAATATATATATACACTCAATGATCATAGTTTTGATGAAAGATTTCTTTATATAATTCAATTGTTATGTATTTGCATGATACATCCATACTTCATGTATAGATGTAGTATGCCATTTTATTGATACATTTTAGTAAAAAGGAAAATTTGCATTTCAACCAATTTTGCAAATATATACTTCTTTTGTTCTTTTTGTAATCGCAACATTTGAAATTTTATACAATTCACTTCTTTAATTGTATTTTGTGATTTATATGCTAGGATAAATTATAATTTTGTTGGATTTGGTTAGATTCATCTCGATTTATAAGATTTCAAGGTATCCACTTTCTATGGATTTACATAAAGATAGTTATTGTCCTTAGAGATGTTCATTTTATAAGATGACATTGCAAGCATGAAACTCTAAACATTAATTGCAATGTGATAATAACAAATGAAGTATTAGACATGAAATAAAGAGAACAACACAATGGTTGTTGTAAATAAGAAATATTAGAAAAAGAATTAATTAAGTCTATATGAATAAATCTCCGAAATAAATTTAGAATTTTCCTTCAAAGTTAACAACTAAAATAAAAAAACTAAGCAAATTTCTTTGTGCTGAAATGGGCTTTGGCCAAAATAAGATAGGCCAAATCTTAAATCTGTCCAACGATCCAAAAGGCAAAGCCCAGCCCTTAATTTCGGTTGTGGCTAGTCCATCGTCATTTATAGGCTAACAAACATAAACTGGACAATTAGTCTTAGCTGCATACTAATGCAGCTATTCTAGCTGCAACAAGGCACGACCCAAAACGCGCAACTCATACCTCATCTAATTAAAAGCGGCCAAGACTAAAACATACCTCCCTCAACCCAACTTATCTACTTCAAACCGCTATATTTTCGAAAAAAAAAAAACAATCGTCATATTTTCTAAAAAAACCGTCATCTCATCAATTAAATTCTCAACTTCTCCCAAAAATTCTATCAAACACTCTTTACATTCTCTTTCCCTTCTCTAATTTTCTCTCTCAAAAAAATTAAAACCTTCATGGACATACGAGACGAACTCAATCTTCAACCAAAATCTCCCAAAAAAGGGTAAGTTTATATGAAAATTAACTTAGTTCATTTTGAATTTAATGATACTCAATTATATTTTAGCGATTTGTATTAAATTTTCTGAAATTTTAATTTTTCAAAAATTTACTAGCTTGAACCTGACTTAAATTTTTGAAAAATTTAAGTTAAATCTTAGTGAGATTATGTGAATATTGTTTACATTTGTTAGAATTTACATGTTCTAAGTTAATATGTGTTATTATTTTCAAAAATTGTAAAGTACTTTTTTCTTTTCTTTCTTTTTTTTTTTTTTTTTTTTTTTTGTGTATAAAATCAAAACTAGATTCAAGTAGTTTAGATGAAGACAAATGCATAAGTATTGAAATTCATTGTTTTAAGTGAACATTGTTATATTGTTGATTATATGAAGTTGAACTTTTGATCAAAAACCCTAAATTTATTGAACAACACTCTTTCTCAATGTTCAAAAAAAGCAAGAAAATTGTTAAAAGTCCAATTGTAGATGAAAAAATCTTGAAGGATTTAGCCAAAGAAGTTGAAAATGATAATGAAAGAAGTCCAAATAACAAGTATGTTTGTTCTGTTTGAGAAAAATATTCATATTCATTTTACGTATGTTCATTTTTATTATTCATGTATTCATTTTATACAATAGAAATATGCTTATTGTGTATCACAATTTGTAAACAGAGATGAAGAGCAATGTACAAATCCTTCTGAACATACAAAAGAAATAATTTCTAAACAACACACTGAACAATGTGTTTACAAGACTAATCAAATTTCTAAGACGGCTACTATAGAACTTTCTGAACACCTCACTGAAGAAGATTATGCAATTTCATCAATTTTTGTTCAAATTCATTTTTGTTCTCTTCATGTTCGTTTTTACATAGACTTTTTTTTCACTTTTATGATATAGATTGTAATAATTGTGTATTGTAATTTATATACAAAGAAGTTTCTGAAAAAGAACGTACAGAACAAGGTGTTGAACAACCTACTATAGAACAAAGCAAACAAGCGTATGCAATTTAATCAACTTTTGTTAAAATTCAATTTTGTTTTCTTGATGTTCATTTTTTGATAGATGTTGTTCACTTTCAAAATAGAATGTAACCATTATGTATTGCATTACTTAAACTTGTGGAATTTGATAAATTCATAATTTTTCTTTTGTTGTGCATATTTTAATTGTTTATGTTCACTATTATGCAATAGGAAAGCAATAGTTTATAAACTAACTAGTATTTAATTGGACACAACAATGAAACAATACCAAATGCTTCTGAACATGGCCCAGAACCATCTGAACACAAGCATACTATCTCTGAACAAGATGATAACCAAGTTAGTGTCGAACCTGAAAATTCTTCTACATGACCTAGAGAAGACCAAACAGGGTCTGGAGAAGAACAAACAGGGTAAATACAATATTATTTGGCAATGTTCATATTAATATAAAGTTTATTCATTGTATTTGTTTTTATGTTCATTCTTATTGTCACAAAAATATTCCTCAAAAACAACTTGAACAACTTGTTCTTGCTTCTGAACAAGAATCTCTTGCAATTGCTACTGCTAAGTAAGAAAATCTTCATTTCTAGTTTTTATTTTGTTCTTTGTTTATTTTTTCTAAAAGTTCATTAATTGATTCTTTATATTCATTGTTTTAGTGAATTTGTTCATTTCTTTTGTAGACCTCAGATGAGAAGAAAACATGTTGCTGTCAAATAGAAATTAAGAGGAAGTGAAAACAAGGAAAACGAAGGAATAATTGAAGATGAAGGTTCTAAGAAATTTTTTGGTAATAAAAAGAAAGAGAAGGAGTTGAAAGAGAAGGAGTTAAAGGAGAAGGAGTTGAAGAGAGGAAAAGATAAAGGACAAAGTTCAAAAAAAGCAAACGAAAATCCAAAGAAGTAATATGGATCCCAACAGGAGAAAAAATTGTGAAAGAAGTTGAAGAAATAGCTGAATCTGATGATGAGGAAGAGGAAGAAAGTCTTTTAACAAGGTTAAAATATGTTCAGTTTATTGAAGTTCATTATACATTACATGATGTTCATTATTCCTGTAAGCATGTTCATTATTCTTATAGCTGTACTGATTGTTTTATATTGAATATGAAGGTGGAGAAAAGCTTACAACATCACTCTTGGAAGCCCAAAAACACACTTGATTTTGGGAAAGCATGCACCAGAAGAAAAGAAATAAGAGAAGGATAAAAAGAAGAAGAAGAAAAAGGCTGCAAAAACAGTTCCTATTGAACAGAACACAGATGAAGCAAATGAAATGTTTGTCATTGATTTCATTGTGCTAGCTGTGAACTGTTTGATGAAATGCAGCCAAAGCATCACCTGTCATTACAAGTTCCTATATTCATTTCGAGATTGTCATGAAATCAAGGATATAATTGGTGTAAGTATGTACTTGACAGCTTGATGGATATAAACTCTAATTGGAAAAGCAACAAGAAAGGGTTCTATAAGGGTCCACTACCTATCTTAATGGTATGGCTATTGTTCATTTATGTATTATGTTTGTTCATAAATTTATTACTGTTATTCATAATCGTATAATTGTTAATGATTTATTTACGTAATTTGTTCATAAATTTATTTTTGTTGTTCAAAATGGTATGCTTTTTGTTCATATATATAAATATGTAGTTTGTTCATAAATTTATTACTTTAGGTCATTTAAATTATTCATATTATTTGGTTGATTATTAATATTTTTATACGAATTATTCTTATGTTTGTTCAGTTGACTTATTTTGATCGATTGCAAAGAAAAAGTATTGTAACAACAAGGACTCCGCCACTGAATTCTGTTTGGAATAAGGAGATGGTTCATGAGAGAATGAAGTTGGAGAGGAAGAATTATGGATTAGGAACCATGTTACCAAGGATCCAAATCCAAAGAGCTGCAGAAGAGCAAGAAAATGTGCCAGAGAAAACAGAAAAGGTTTGATTTTAAAAAAAAATTCAATGTTTGTTCTTATGTTTCATAATGTTTTTTCATAATATTAATATTATATATTCATAATGTTTGTTCTTATGATTCAAAGTAATAATTTTTATATTCAATATCTGTTACATATTCATATAAAAACGAATTATGATCATTTTTTTTACTATAGATGTTCATAACAGGATACTGAATGTTCATATATTCTCTATATTCTATGTTCATTTTGTAGGAGCATTTCATGGAGGAATTTATTGATTTGGCTAAAGCTCTAAGTGGGTATTTGTCAAAGATGGTAGAAAAACTCAATCATGCTAAAGAACTCTTCCCAAACAATCTTCTTTCCAAAACAATGGAAGAGTTCATTGAGAAGAAGTTAAAGGAACCTTCAATCTTGAGTCAAGATGAAGAAGTGTTTGGGACTAAGTTTTTTTTAGGTGCATTGGATGAGGTTGAGAGAGAATATTCGAAGAGAATATCTTAAAAGACAACAGCAAAAAAGAGAGCATCAGCTAAGGGAAAAGGGAAATCTAGGGATTCATTCGACCCGAGTAATCCTTGGGACTTGAGGGTCCATTCAACTCCAACCCCTAGCCCCCAAGAAGTTGTTATTGGAGGAAGAAGTGGAGTAAAGTGAACTTGGATCTTGGGCTAGGACCCTCAAGTGTTGAGAGAGAATAATTTCCAGTATTTAATCCGTCAATATTTGAGAGTATGTTGAACAACCCAGATACGACTATGGCAAATATTTTCAACCAGCCACTGTCGGGAAACTTCCCATTTCATGAAGGGTAAAGTAATTATGAACTGGACATTAGTTTTTATTTAGAAACCCAATGTAATAGAATATCTAATGGGTGAAGTGCTAGGATGAAGTATAAGGCTGAAATTTCACCCGTGTGAAATATTAGGATGAAGTATGTTGGAATTTTTTGGACAAAATGTAATTTAAATGAACAAGTATTAGGATGAAGTACTTTTGTATTGTAAATATTTTGGGAAAAGTAATGTGATTCTGATGAACTAGTATTATAATATAAATTTTTTACATATAAGTATTATATAAAAGTTATGGTTAAGTTTGATATACTTGTTCATTTTATTTCTATTTATGTTCATTTTTATCTACATTATATATCGTTCACAGATGTAAAGAAGCAGCACCAAGTGAGAAATAACAAAAAAATCCAGAAATAGTAGCACAAGGGTAAAAGAAAAAAATAGAAATTTAACATATTGATTTGTTCTTTAAAGTTGCATGATGTTCAATTTAATATATTATTTGTTCATTTAAATTTAATTAGGGAGACAAATGAAAAAGATACTGAGCCAAAAATACAAATTGAGCCAAAATAGAGTGCGACCAAAAAACAAGAGAGGTAAAATTATTGTTCATTTAGTAAAAGATGATGTTCATTATTTTATGTAGGATGTTCAATTTTTTAATAATTATGTTCATTAAAATATACTTTATTGTTCATATATCACAGATGTGATGAAGCAGCACCAAGTGAGAAACAAAAAATCCAGAAAATTCAGATGGGTAATTTTTTAATAAGAAAATAAAATTAATGTTCATTATCATAACCTATGTTGTTCATATATATACTTTTATTGTTCATAAATCCTTAACAATAATTTAATGTTTGTTCAATTAGACCAAAGGATATTGAGGCAAACAAAAGACCAAGAAGGAAAATTATAAAATTGTCTCCTTGTCTCAAATCCCCTTTCATGATTAAATACAAAGATTTGTTTAAGGACGTTAATGCAATGAATGCAACTATTTCTGATTATGCATTAAGTGATTGTCCGGAAAAGTAAGTTTTATCTTTAAACTGTATTCTTCATAAGTTAATTTACATTGTTCATAAATTAATTTACATTCTTCATAAATTAATTAACATTGTTCATTTTTTTAGTAACAGTTTTTTTGGTTTTATTTATTTGTTTATTTATTTTGGTAGTGAGGTGTTGTACCATGATGGAGAAAATAGTGTAAACATAGGTGAAATGAAGACACTTGGAACAAATGGAGAAGTCGACAATGTCGTTATTGATGCTTAATTAGGCTCATATTATGAACATCAAGGGTAAAAAACACACTCTTTACTTCTCCATAATGCCAAATGTAAGAACATAAACTTCATATTATTAGAGTTTTTATCATAATGTTTAGAATGTTCAGTATTATTCAATAAAATGTTCATTATTCTTATATTACATGTTCATTATTTTACATTACATGTTCATTATTATTATTATATCGCATGTTCATTATTCTTAAATAGTATGTTCATTATTCTTATATTGTAAAATGTAGCTGATAGTATGCCCATACAAAGGTGCAAGTGTAAACACTACCAAAGAAATAAGATTTGAAAAGTTTGCACAAAGATTGCACTATGAAATGAGAAACTGTGGCATTCAAAGGACAAAATACTTAATGCAATTCTTATTTCCAGTGGTTGCATCTAAGCACTACTATTTGATGTGCATAAACATGTACAATGGCACAATTGACTTAATTAATAACAGAAAGCTGCCAATGCATATGAAAGCAAGTCACAAATATGAAGATAATCCCGAAAAATTGGTAAATTACTAAATTTTCTTAGTTCGATTATTTTTTGTTCTATGTTCAGTAAATTCAGTAGTGGAGTTCAGATATTAATCAATTTCATATTTCAGCTTGAAGCTTTTTGGATATTTTCTACGAACTAAAGGTTACAAAGAAGATGATATCAATAAAGTAAATAATTTTAAAACCGATTTGATTAAGATGAAATGAAGAAGCAATTGGGATCATAAGAATTATGGTGTTTACGTGATGAAACATATGGAGACATACACCACATAATCTTTGGTAGAGTGGGTTTGTAACTTGGTAGCTAATTGTTGAAGCTTAAGAGTTTTGAGGATGATGAATAAAAGCAAACTTCAACTAATGTGATTTCTCTAAGTGTTTGATTAGAACAAGTGAAGTTGACTTTGGAAGTGGAAGACTAACCTATTTATGAAGACTCAAGATCTAAAGGAAAGTTAAAGAAAGTAGAAGAAGAGTTCCTCACTGGAACTAGTTGTGATCCCTAACAAGAACACGAAGAGAAGTTCCCTAATAGGAGGTTGACAGCAAGCTGAGAAGATAAGCTTAGACTGCGTTGTAGACAACAAGTTCCACAAAAACTTAGACTGCGAGTTCTAGCACGGAGCTAGAAAGGTGAAGACAGCAGGAACTTAGTTCTGGTCTGCGTGAAGCCTAAGTATCCTTACAATACATCAATTGATGAGACAATCTGGCTATAGAATAAAAGTCTTTTTGTTAAGTTTATATTACTAAGGATTGTTGTAAATATGTTAGATAAGATTATGCATGGAATTTATTAGAAGTGTGGCAAAGCTTGGCAAGCTATTAAATATGGAAAGTTTGCAAAAGATAAGTTTTAATTTTATGAAAAGATTTTTGAGAGATTTTATCTTCTAAAATTCGGTTTTACAAAATATTATTCTTTTCTAAAATTATATCTTTGTTAAGTTTTCTATAAGATTTTCTTCTAACCGATTTACTTAAGTGTTGTGATTATGAAAACGACAGTTTATTAATTTCTATCTTTTGAAAACCCTACTTTACATACGAGTACAACTTGTACTACCTCCATTACATATTAGTTGCAGCTTTAGGGTATTATTTGTAAGACATAAAATATTCCAAAGTTGCAACTAATATGTAACAGAGTTAGTATATAAAGTAGAATTCATAATTTGCACAACTTGTGAGTTTATGCGTGAAAAATCTGAAGAGTGCGAAAAGTGTAAGTTTGCCAAGTCTAAACTTTGTCATATTAGTTTCGGATTTCATATGTAGCTTTCGAATCACATATTATAGTGAAGAGTTTGTATTGTTTTGGTATTGGGGTGAGTGTTTAGCATATTGCATACAGATTGTAGGCTTCAAGGTTGAAGATGAGTGTATGGGTACTCCGGGAGTGCTAAGTGAATCTAAGTCAGGGACTTAGGTTGGGTAGAATAGGGTTCTACTGTGTAGCAATTTTAGTCTGAAACTTGTGAGTAAAGGTCTGTGTTTAATAGGTTGTAACTAGGTGTGTTGCCCTATTATAATGGATTGGATTTGTATGAAATCCCTTGTAGGATTGAGGTTTTACTTCCAGTTGGGCCCTGGAAGGTTTCCTCGTAAAATCCTGTGTGCATTGCAAGTTCCTTTATTATTCTGTTTTAATTCTGCAAAACTAGTTACTAGGAACTCACTTACAATTCATCCCCCCCTTGTAGAGTTGTTCTCAACTAACACTAATGATGTAAGGTTTTAAACAATCTTATTCATAATTATAAGTATGTTCATTTGTTTTCTATACATATTCAAAAATTTTAATCTTATGTTCATTTTTATGAAATCATATTGATCAAATCCGAAAGCCCGGGGTGAAATATTGTGCAGAAATAATTCTAAGTACTACAAACAGAAAAGGATATAAAGTGAAGATGGCTGTAAGAAGAAGGATTGAAGAAAATTAATGATTAGAATTAATTACATTGTACGAAACTGTGGTTTTATTTAAGTATGTTTGAATCTAAGTAAGAATTGATGTTCAAATATCAATATTTGTAAGGATTGTTTGTGTGTGTGTTTATTTATACAATATTATTTGTTCATTTTCCTATATATTTGTGTTCATTTTATGATTATAAAAGAATAGATTTCATAACACATTAGTTGCTAAGAGAATAAAGTTGATTTATAAATTGTACTTCTTTCGTTTTTTTATAGTTGCAACACTTCCCTAAAATAGAAATATCACAATAGTTGCAACACACTATAAAATGAAGGTTTTTATGATGAAAATTGTACTATTATCTTTATTTAAAGCCCATGGCCCACTTGATTATGTTTTTAACAACCTCATAACCCCATTTTAAGTGTATTATATCATGTGAGATCCACTTTTCTTAAATACCATGATAAATTGTGTGTTGTAACTATAAGGAAATGGAGGAAGTAGTTCATTACAATAAAATGATTTTATGCATTCATTGTCTTGTCAAACATTGACAACATTTCATTATAATGCGAACCATTAGAAGAACCACCAACACCAGACCCTTCAGTCCTTACATTGCGCTCAGCATTAAAATACTAAAAAAAAATTTAAATATATAGAAAATTATAAAAAAATTGTTCAAAAAAAAAATGCAGATGTTCATAATTTAAAATAAAAAATTCATATAACTTGAAACCATTTATTGTTTTCATATTGAAAACTTCTGTTGGAGTTAACTTTAGGTTTTTTTTTTTCTTTTTTTAGCTTGAGATCCTTATTGACTTGATTCCTACATCATTTAAAAGATGTTCAGATGTTAGACGAATTTTGTTAAACGTTCACGAAAATAAACTTCATATCTTACATTTGATGAAGAAGGTTGAGAAGCATTTGTTGACTTAGTAAAGTTTCCTCTTGTAGGTGCACA